TGGATGGATGGATGGATGGATGGATGGATGGATGGATGGATGGATGGATGGGAGAGAAAGGTCGAATAAAAGTAGAGTGAGTGAACAGCTGGGGAGGTGGAGAAAACAGGCAGGCAAGCAGACGATGAAGTCGGCAGACAGAGAGAAGGACAGACCTGGGGTGGTTCGTAGATAGCCGCAACCACCGCCTTAATAGCAAGAGGTGGGGCGCCTGCGGTGTCAAAGGGTGCGTACTCGCCGAGAAGAAGACCGACGCGCTGTCGCCCCGTAAGGCGCCAGAAGTCAAGGAAGGTCTCCACCACCTCGCCATTCTCAAACTGTACGTAGTCTACGTGTCGGTAGGGCTGCACCTCGAGCGTCACCGGACTTGGCTGGCACTGTGTGCAGATGCCCGCCGGCCAGGGCGGATGGGAGGTGCATCCGGGGCGCAGGCTGCAGCGCATGTTCTCCAGCCGAACGAGCTTCCCTCTGCGAGTAAAGTCACGGTGGGGATCAGTAACCATGCCGTCCAAGCTACTGTTACAAAGCCGTGCTAGGGATGTCTACTATCCCAAAAAAAGCAGTTCTATTGAGACGTTTAAGGAATTTCGTCAGCCTACGACATTTCCCAAGTTACATTCAATGGGCCGATAATGCGTGGAGATACCCCATGTTTGCAATTACTCCGTGTAGATTCAAGACCATTCGAATGATAAAAATGCGTGAGAATGGTAATCATGAGAAAGGACTTTAGCAGTCGAACCAGCAGGTACGTACCTGCCCACCATACCCTCAACGTGCCCGCACCACCATGGCGAAATTTCCACCCCTCAGTTATCCTAATTAGTATCTCGATAAATTTTGTGCTCATGCACGTATACAGCTGGTCGAAACAAGCCAAGGAGATATATCGGAAGCCCTCCGATTCTGAGAAATGCCAAAAAAGAGAATGATGAAAACAAAGGCATTTACTGATTATCGACATCTCTGACCTCCCTCCAGATGGAGGTGGCTGCATAGACGGAACAACCTAAGCAGAGCCTGTAAAATTACCTCCCTAAGAGACACCACTAACCAATCAACAATAAACTTAGCGAAACACCTCCAAGTCTGTGGAATTTTCCCTCCTAGAAAGGCACCAGTAAGAGCGAAGAAGTGGCGCCCAAGAGTTTTGCCTCCACTGGCACAGCTCTATTAGATAAACTGCTTTCAGGCTCAAAGATCCCCAGTGAACGAACGAACGAAATTATCGGCTAATGTACAGGAGTAGACCAGGTTTTCCGACGGTTTCAGTGACGATACGCAGCCCAGCAGACGATGTTGTCTTGAAAATAAGATGGAGTGAAAGCTAGTCGTAGTGGCACCGGCAGATGCTTTCATTCACAGATTCGACGAGTTCACTACGCTAGTAACGTAGGCAAAGTAGAGAAACTGGATAAAGCAGCTTCCCCTCCTTATGGATTAGAGGTGTGGGCATAATTAAGGAAAAACCGGCTTCAACAAAGTCTCCTTAGTGGAAAACCGGTTGTCTAGCAAAACCAACAGTGATATGGAACTCTGTGCTGATAGCTTACCAGTCCTCCTGCATGCTTACAAAGAAGCTGCTTTCAGACTATCACGTTTCAGCGGAGTCTCGTCAATTACAGTGAACAAGAATCTGTTAAAAGCCGTAAGGGAACTTATGATTAGGCAAAATTTTTGATAGACTCTAATGAGGCAATTAAAGGTAGAGCAACCTGCTTCATTAAATCTGAGACAGGAGGTGGACAATGGGCAAACATTCGTCGAATCAGCACAAAATGACCTCTAACGCATCCATTTAGGTGTCGCTTCGGCACTACCCATTCACCCTCTCAGTTATCGATGGTCCATGCACAGTTTAAATGATCAGAAGGCTCCTTTTTAACGTATAATAGAAGCTTTATAATATTATGGCGGCCCAATATGAGGCCTAGGTAATTCAACCTGCTAAGGTAAAAGGGCTTCTGCGCCACATTCTGCAGAGACATCAGCCGTTTTAAATCCCCAATCTAATCACTCCGAAAATTGAGTAGTATTCCAGTCAAAAGTTAATCAAGGGAAGCCGTCAAAACTCACTTGTTTTGACCGCCTCTCAGTTTGCGTAGATAAGCATGGAAGGACATGAATTTCACTGGTGGGTCGCAAAGACTCAGGTAGTTTGGATCTGACGGCTAGACGATGAAGTAAACACCATTCCAATCCAAAAAATGATCATAAAACGGTGTAGGAGAGAATTAATGGGATACTATACCTCTAGAGGAACGCAATGAATGCAAACACCGGAATCTGGATGATGGCATCTAAAATTAAGAAGAGGAGATATTTGACGTATGAGGAGGAATATCCGAAAGAATTGTTTTAAAATAAAACTTACAAGTGTCCTTTCGGACGCTTAATCTTGCCATCCATTGCATCAATAATTTTATCAACTTCGTCCTCTTTAAGAAGCACCAAAGGAACTTCTTTGGTATCAGTATCCTTTGTCTAGAAACAAGAAAGAAGAAGTTTAAAGAAAGTGACTATGAGCAAATTGTAAAATACGGTATGACAGCGTAAAGACAGTTACCTGAGAAGGAGCTTGGGAACTAGGGGTTTTTGGTCTACTTATGATATACAGTATATCTCCATTCCTAAAAAGAAGTGAGGCGTCAAAGAAAAATCCGCGGGCAAATAGAGTAACAATTTTTGGGTACACGGAAAAGTCAAGGAAACAGCAAATCTGAGACCAAAATAACCTTGCAAAAGCAAAATGAGCACTTGACTCTGGAATACTGGCTCCGAGTTAAGTATTTCAAACAAAATATAAAACGAAAAACAGCAAAAAATTACTGGAACTTTGCAGTTTTGAGTGCAAGCCGCGTATTACGCTTTATAGCGTCGCCACATTTTCGGGATTTTGATAACTGCCAGTTGGAACTTGGGTCGAGATTGAAGGCTTTCGCAGTGAGCTCAAACAGTTTTGCAACAGGATCTGATTCAGAAACTTCAAGACGCTTGGTGCCATGCTCAGATTGTACTCGAATAATCATGTTTGTACGCGGAACCAACTTAGCCACTCTAAAAGTGATCACATGGGTCGAGAGGGGCAAGTGTGGAAGCGATCTGACGCATTGCGTACTAAACAGTTTGGATGACTAGATCAAAAAATTGACATTTTTGTCAAGCTTTGCTCCAATCAAAAAGTTAACAAAATAAAAATCTAGGGCAGAAGTGCAGCTACTAAATACTTAAGTCCAAAATATTATGCATCGATGCACAATGAGCAAATTTAGAGAATGATTGTATATTTCAAGTCTCTTTGTATTTTTAACAGCCTAAACTCATATATAACCATGTCTGCTACACAAGGTATCTAAACTAGGCAAGCTTTCACAATTAGTTGCATTATACCTAAACACAACTCTACAATTTTGAAGAGGTGAGTGCCTTGGATATTATTGCTGCATAACGTGAAAAACTATTAATAAAGCAAACTGATGCAGTGCAGCCTTTGTCGTAAAAGGAAATCAGACATTAAGCGCTATAGCTTAATTTCAAAATAGTCAAATGAAGAATTTTTCAGGCATTATTGTGAAGCGAGACTCATCGGTCTCCGCTTCCCTATTCCTAACATTCTTAGGCAAGCTCGGTTGATCCGCTTTAGACATCTTTATTAAAGGTGACAAGATGGGGAGGGAAAATACAATGTTCAAGTAGGAGGGGAGCTGTAGTGTAATACGGTAGTGGTTTATCCCTCGGTTCTGATGAGGCGCCACTTTTGTACTTCGAATTAGCCCCCTTGTACCTCACTGGCTGGGGCTGGCCTTTTGGGCCGTGCCAATAGCCCAGACACCTTCTCCGTGCTGAATATATATATATTCTGCCCGAGTATTTTGTCTTCTTTCGTCTTCAGGGAGTCTCGGGACGCTACATTGGTGGCAGCGGAAAGCGAACCCGATCTTGAAAGACATGTATCCTGATTTTCCACTTCTGCGTGATAAGCCTTAGTGGAGTGGAAGAAGTACATATGCTACGGATGGGAGAATGGTGATGACCCCTAACAGAAGGGTTGATGTTGACGTCTACCTTCGGCATCCCTCCTAGTCCCGTGTTCTGCAGAAAAGCTATTAACAACTGGAGCGACACTGGTCGTGAACCATCTGGAAGTTTCGTTACGGATTTCCCCTACCGTCCCTCATGGACCTGTTTTAAATCTTGTACTTCCTTACTCAGATCTGCTTTCAGGCCAGTGTTCCTGCACCTATCTATGGACACGCATGATGGCCGACGCAGTTCCCCGTCCTGAATGAAATCCCCATAACGGAAGAAACCCCAGATCCAGTCAAGCTGCCAAGAGGTATCAGTGACGTTGAGGTCAAGTATCCCCCCAGTTGCGCGCTAATTTGGTGACTGGCACGGTTGGCTCGTGGGTGTTTCTTTACTGC